AAGGGGAAATTACTAATAAAAATTACTAACAAATTACACCCTATCATTATGTTTGAATTAAAGGATTTTAAATTCTCTCAAATTTCTCTAGGTTGTTCGGATATTTGGGAGGTATTTGAATTTGTAACTTACCAATTATTTAATGATGATTGATCAATTTGGGCAATAATCTCACCCTGGATAATAGAGTTGTTAGATGCTCTAATTCATGCATCTTGTTAGAAAGAGAAAGAAATTTTATCGTGCGCGCCAGTAACCAGATACATAACTCCAATTGATCCAATTCATGAATCGAGAGAGTTAACGACGTTTGTGCCAACTTCAGTTGAACTAAAATTTCTTGTCAGCTCCAATAGAGAAAGATAATTCATGAAAATTACTCCTCTCCACCTCTATGTCGCTACCAAAACCTTAAGCCCTCTTTGATAATCCAATTTAACATTTAAATTTAATGTCTTTAGATCTTTAATGTATTCAAATGCATTTGATAAAAAATAAAAATAAAACATCTGAATTAATTAAATGACACTAAATTTTCTAAGAAAAACATATTCCAAAAATTAAGTGGTAACCTATTCACCAATCATTTAATGTAATATACATTTAATTGTATTACATTTAGTACATAATAATTCATAACTCAATGGAGAAAGCCTTGTAAATCACTCTTGTCACTGGTAGTTATAATGCCACAGCCAATTTTGCCTGAAATAACAAATTTACCCATTTCAAAGTGCATTCAACATTTGACTATTGGAGGCCATAATTGTATTTTAATGGAAATTGGCTGTGGAAGTTTAAAAAAAAAAGATGTCAGCGCTTTCGACAATTCCAATTCCACGGCTCTCGACAGCATACTTCACTTTGATAAACACATTTGCGCCCAACAACAACGACGTTAACAATGCCCCTTTTGGATCCTCAAATCCTTCTGATGCAAAATGGCCCAAAGGCAAATCTCAAGAGTTGGCCCAGTCACCAATGTGGCTGGGGTGCAAGCTGTGAACGCCCACCTGTGACATCATTTTTTTTATTTTTTATTTTTTATTTTTTTGATAGTAAGGTAGTAAATGCGTTGTTGCATTCAAAATCTCAAAGAGTTTGTTGAGATTCTAACGTTGTTTAAATACCCAGCGTGCCGTTTGATAAAATTTGAATCGGTTAAATTAGTGAATTGTTAAGTACTAAGTTTAATACATTTGAATGTATATCACGTTAAGTAAGTAAATAATTTATCACTTATTTTTTGGAACAAATTTTGTCTAAAAAATTTAGTGTCATTTAATTAATTCAAATGTTCTAGTTTTGATTATCAAATGCATCTGAACATGTTAAATTTGGCTTAAAGATCAGTTGAAGCAAAACTAAGAAATTTAAGAACTTAATAGTCATTTTAAAATGTTGAGGGACAAAATAGGACAATTAATATAAGCTGATAAACTATTCAAGTCATTTAGCCCATACTGGCACACTCACATGAATAAATACAATTACCGAAATAATAGGCATGTAAGTAATTGGACAAAATCTTAAACCAAGATTTTTCCTTGTTTTAAATTGATCAATTGGTTTGTTCATGAGTTATTTCAAGCAAACTCCATACATTTTAGTGCACCATTTGACAGTGTTCAGTATTCATGTTTTAACTACTGATTGGCAAATCCGTTTTCTTTCAACAAATTATGATCTCTTAGAACAACTGCGTCTTATTCATACTTCACGAAGATTAACGATTACCGTCGCCTTTTTTTTTGGCGCAAACAATTATATTGTCTCTTAACTCATTGTCAGGAAGAAATTAAGGGCCAGCTCAAACGTGCTGGTGCTAACCCAAGTATCAGTAATGTTACCGTAAGGAGTGTAGCAATAGCTGTTGACAAAGATGAAGAGATCGAAGGTTGATTGAAACAGTGACTCTTACTTGATTGTCGCTAACTCATAGTTACAGTGACTTTTGCAGCTGGTTTTACCGTCCAGGTGGCTTTGAAAGCGGTAATGGACGCAATAAAAGCAGCTTTCATTGTCTTTGTTGTTTCAGATTCATTGGCGTTTCTGCACTCTATCCTCGTAGTCTTATAACAAATTGTAGTCCATTAGAAGCTGGACCTTTTATTTGACGCAGCTCAATTCACAATATTCTCCAGTGAGCTAGGTATTGGATATGCCATGATAGCAATGGTGATAGCATTTATGAGTGGCCTCTTTGCCATGGTACCAATCAGGGGCATCCAGATTTATCTCTCTTTTATCATTTCTTTGTTCGGCTTCTATGCTGTGGTTATTCTCATTGGATAAAGGTAAAATCACTTTAGTTTATATTTTGTATCAGAGCTTATTATGGTTTAATTTGTTCTTTTCCATGCTCTAGGAGTTAAATTCATGCATGTTATAGATCTCCGTGCTAGGTCAGTGTGAGCTTAAGTGCAAACCGCCCTTGTTGCAAAGCCAATTAAATTATGAGATAAGTGAATAAACTTTGGGAATTATGTGTGAGATGTTAAGAATTTGAAGGACTTAAAAGCAAATTTGTGAATATAATTTGGGAATCTATCCAAACTTGAAATTACCCTTTACTACTTATTTACTCTCTCTCTCTCTCTCTCTCTCTCTCTCTCTCAGATTCCTTCTTTTCCTCTTTCTCAGAGTGAGAATGGAGTTCGGGATATACTTATTTGCGACTCCATAGACGTAAGATGTGCTAATTCATGTTGTTTGTGGTTGATTTAGTGGAAGAAATGGCAAGGGATGTATTTCAAGATGAGGAATGGATTAATCCTCAGTGTGTCTAACACTCTTGTATAGAATTCCTTGAGCCTTTGCTCATATAAGTTTTTTGCCAATCAATACAAATATCTAACGTTGCAGAAAAAAAAAAAAAAATACTACCCCAAATCTAGCTAACAATTATTTTTCTTTTGTCATTTTAACTATTAAATTCCTAAAGGCAATTGATTCCAATAGATTGTGTAATTTATCATCATCTATGTAAAACTCTTAGAAATTTTTTCTTTAATATGAAGCCATATATATTTCATTAGGAAGAAATGCAGCTTTAATCCTCAATATTTAGTCTGTGTGCCAAACTAGTTCCTAATATTTTGACCAAAACAAATCTAGTCCTTAAAGTAATTGATATTAGACACAATTAGGATAATTGATGAAATTCAATAATGACTCACGGTTAGAATCAAGTTGTCGTTAGTCAACAGTTTTAATATTGCACTTCTGGTCCATATTTTTTAGAATTTGAATCATTATAGCCTCCAAATTTTGAATAACGCTATTGAGGGTTTTAGCCTTTTAGGATGAAATAAGATGTGAATTAGAAAGCAATTGTTTTCAATAAGGAATGAAATGTGAGTTAGAATGATAATTGGCGGTGACCCTGTGGTAAAAGAAGAGGTGTAGGAGTTACAATGAGTTCAAGGAACCCCTGCAACGTTTAAGCCTCTTTCTTGATTACAACGGTTAAGCCTAGCTAGTGGTCACAATTCAGATTATCGGTTATGGCTACCTCATAAATTGGGTAAATTTATACCAGATTCTGGCTCAGCCTTTTCCTGCTGTCACCTAGTCAAATGTGATGTGCTTCAACAATTATGGGCCTCGTTTTCCTTTCATAATGTGGCTATTGTGTAAACGTAGGCTCAGCACTTTGGATAGACTAAATAGGTGGGGCTGAGCGCAAAGTGCTACTTGTTTGTTGCGCGGAAGCGAGGATGAATCTGTTGAGCACCTGTCCTTTCTCTGTTCCTATGCTTATGATACTTGGAAGCAAATTCAAAGCTTGAATTTCACGTACAGAGGAGCTGTGGGTGGTCTACCGAACTAGTTTTGGTGGAGCCATCATGCCAATTCTAACTCTTTTCCTCATCAGATTGGTGAGCTCGTAACTTGGTGTTAGTAAAACATAAGCATAGGCCTACTCACTCCATTATCCAATGGATCATCCAAGATTGTGCCATGTTGTTCATGGCTGAGAAGTTTAGCAAAGGAGAGAAGAAATTGGGAACTGAGTATGAGTTGGGCTTTTGATCTGTCAATTTTTCTGTGAACAATTGTATAACTAGACTATTTTCTTTTGATTGTATCTATTATAGCTTTTGTTGCTCATAGTTCACTATACACGTTTGGGGGTTTTATCCCTTGTACACTCTCTTTTGCCTATTAATAAAATTGGAGACAAAGAAAAAGTTCTAATTTAACTTTCTTTTTTTTTTATGTTTATTTCATTTATGCATTCCACTAATTTCTAATGTACTTCTTCACTTTTGCATAATTGATATCAAATTTGATATAATATGTGTATGTATTACTTTTCGCCATTAATAATTAACTGGTAATGGGTTCTATCATTTTTTTTTTACTTTTGTTGATAATTAAACAACTTTATTAAATATTTCTTTAAAATATAAAGAATATATACTATAAAGAAACTTCCCTGATCTCTTTTTTTTTTTTTTTTTTTTTTTTTGCATTTCAATAGGCTATCAGCTGAGTTTGAAATAAAACTAATGTCTTGTAAAATTCTTATATTATACAATAACTAACAAGGGTATGCGAATATTAAAATAAATACTTTTGAAATTTAGGATTGAAATGTTTAATTTTTATAGGTTAGAAAGATGATAAAAAAAAACTAGTATTTTCATAATTACAATCCCAAACTACAACTTTCGATGCCTATGTAAACGAATTATGCAAGAACTTATGTAGTAGTATTGATAGTAAATTTTTATATCAAACTAGAATTCTCCTTTTCTTCTAGTAATTTTTTATTTTATTTATTATCTGTTTCTCCCTTTTTTTTGGAATCAATCAGCTTCTAATTCCTAAATCAACGCTAAGTTGCAACGCTTATAACCCTAGTTTTAAGAAGCAAAAAAGGGTATAACAAACGAGGGAAGAAAACAACACAAGGCGGCCGTCCCTCACCTATCATTCCCTTCATTTTCATCAACAGTATCAATTATCAAACCCTAGACTAACTTCTTGACAAGATGATACCTAAAGACATCCTTATACAAATATTCGAAAAACTTCCGGTAGAATCTCTATTGAGATTCAAGTGTGTTTCAAAGGTTTGGTACAACATGATTGAAGATCGAGAATTTGTTGATGGTTTTCGCGTTCGTGCCCATAATCGTGGAACCAACCTCCTTGTTCGCAAGTCCCGTTTCCAAAAGAATACCGATGAAGAAAATAATACAGGGGTAAATCATTCACAAGTATATACTTTCTTCCTAGTAGATTCAGAAGGCAAATCTGTTCCTCTTGCCTTTCCAGATATTCTTCGGGAAACATCCTTTCGCTTATATCAACCTGTTGAAGGCTTACTATGTTGCAACAACATCATATGGAACCCTACTACAAGAAAGTTCATTGATCTTCCCCCTCGTAATCAGATGCCCGATGCTTGGAAGATCAGCGAGAAGATGGGAACTACAAGAGGGTATTACGGTTGGAATATCTGCAGTGAATACTTTTTGGGGTTCGATGTTTCAACCAAGAAACACAAGGTGTTGAGCATTTGTCATGTGAGGCTCGTAAAACCACCCATTGCCTGCAAAAAGGGTGATTACGATGCCCATGTCTATGCAGAAGTTTTGACATTGGGAACAAATTGTTGGAAAAAGATTAGTATAGATATTTCTCTCGAACAAGACCTTTGCGAGAGCTTCGAGGTGAAGTCGTCGTGCAGCATCAATGGCGTGATATATAGCATCATCACTGTCCCTTGCAAATTGTCTATAATGTCCACGTACATGGGTGGGTGTATACTAGCCTTTGATATAAGTCGTGAGAAACTTCGACTTTTGCCTTTCCCCGAAGAAAACGTTTATGTTGAGACTGTGGCTTATCCAGGTGAGCTTGGGGACGCTTTGCTCTGATGGAAGTTTTGGACCAAAAGATTTGGATACTAGAGGAAGTTTTTGAAGGTGGAAGGTGGACTAGTGTGGATTTATCGTTGCCAAAACGTTGGTGTGATCCTCATGAATATGAACGAGGATTCAATGTCTATCCTATGGGTATGGGATCATACCAAGACGGTGAGATTTTATTTCGAGTTTCTGAGATTTGTCTAAAGACTCGTAGGGATTTTGGGGCGACAATCTTCAGCTACAATATGGAGAGCAAAGATATGAGGAAAATCACAGAACTAGATGACTTTCTCGATTCCTATGACGACATTGTTTTCGGGCTCGTGGAAACGATACACCCACTTAAGCAGGTCTCTTCATTTTAGTACTTCTTAATTTTTTGCTTTGTTGACCATTCATGCGAAATTATGTTTCTTTTTGGTTTTTTTTGAGAAAATCTTAGATTTTATAGATCAAGCTTGAAGCATATACAAGAGAATAGAGAAACTCCAAAATGCATATCAAAACCACACCTTAACCACCAATAGACAAGAACATGTACAACTAAAAACACTGATGGGGTAATCCAATTTCCATTTATGCTATAACAATGTCTTCAGTGTTTTTCTTAAATTTCATCGTTGAAAACTAGCTCGTGGGAATTAAAAGAGATTGATTTTTGTTTGAGGTGTCTATATTATAGGCAGATTGATTAGTAGCACTCTCAAACAAATGGGTTGCTGAATATAAGCCAAAAAACCACCAAAACGGAAATTAAAGAAGTCTTTTACAAAATGTTTTTTTTTTTTTTTTGATAATGAAAAAGCCTTTCATTGCAAATCAGCAATAGCAGCCTGAGTAACCGACATGGGAAAGTTTACAAACCAGACCCTACTTCCCTCAACAGATAACGATAACTGAGACATGATGTGAGCGGGGACATTATTGGTCCTCCTCACATGGCTAACCTTAACAAAATCAAAAGAATGCAGCATGGTCCTGATGCCATGGATTAAATTGCCGATCAATGACAGATCGGGTTCCTTGCTATTAATCTTTTGAACAATAGTTAATGCATCCCCTTCAAGCAAGAAGTGCGAGATACCAAAATCTCTTGCAAACTCCAAAGCAGTGAGAAAAGCCAAGCATTCCACATGCTCTGCATTGTAAGCTCCTTCAACCCTTGCAGCCATTGCAGCCTCCACTTGGCCTAAGTAATTCCTCACCACTAAACCAACACCAGCTGCTTGTTCGGAAAAGGCTCCATCAACATTAATTTTCAGATAGCTCTGATCCGGTGCTACCCATTTGGTAAGCTCCTTATACTGCAGTGCTCCTTGTCTCCTGTGCAGGTTCCAAAACTCTTGCAAGAATGCCTTAGCATATACGCCCACCTGTGCTGCACTCTCCGTCTTGGCCGCAAATAATGACTTGTTCCTACTTTTCCACATCAACCACATCGTCACCACCGTGAGCTCTGCTAACTCATTTCCTTCAAATTTCATAAAACAGTCCAGCCAGTCCTTAAAGTTTGATGCAGCAGGCTTGTAAATTGCTTTCAGCATCCCCATACTCGCCCACACCTCCTGAGCAAAAGCACACTCCAAAAATATGTGCTTATCAGTCTCTTGAACACACCCACACCAGGTGCACCCCATTACTTTGCTCCTAAGCCTTCTCGATAAATTCTGTCCTGTAGGTAAGATACCAGAGCATGCACGCCAAACAAAGGTTTTGACCTTCGGAGGAATGTGCATATTCCAGATTTTGGACCAAAAGGACTTCTCCTTACTACTTGATGATGCCTCCTCCCCACCTTCATCCAACCTCTGCAAGGTTTTTGCCAATTGGTACGCTGACCGAACCTCAAACATCCCATTTTTACTGTAGTACCATACAAGCTCATCCTCCGCCCTCCACGGGGTACGAGGAATTTTTTGGATAATTTGTACCTCGTACTTCAAGAAAAGAATATGAAGCAAATCCAACCTCCAATCCCCAGAACGGGGGTCAATCAAATCAGCTACTCTAGCATCTGGCCACAGAGTCCTCGAGCATTGTGACACCAGGAAGGATGGAGGACAGGGTAGCCAAATCCCAAACCCGGATGTGTGAACCATCACCGACTCGCCACACGACCCCTCTTTGCAGTAAACTTCTGCCTACTAGTAAGCTCCTCCAAAGATAGGACGGATTGCTCCCTAGTTTGGCATTCCAAAAATCAGTCCTGGCATAATACTTGGCCTTCAAAACTTTGGCTGCCAGAGAATCAGGATTTTTAACTATCCTCCATCAGGGTTGGGTTTTAGAGATTTGGAGGCCTTTAATCTCGCTTTATTAGCAAAACAAAATGTTTGTTATACATTACTTTAGATTCTAGGTTGTTTTGTATTGTGATAAAGAGGCTGAAAAAGTGTTGTCCTGATTTGATATACGAAAAGGCAAATGTGAATAGCTATGAACGGCGGATAAAATTTTTTTGCTAAACCAAATCTGCACAATTCACGCACGCACTTCTGCTCATACAATAGAGATAGTGGAAAGTGTTGAATAGCCTTTGACATAGCTTATGCAAGAGACACATACGTTTGATGTTTAAATCGATTTTGGCCCTTTAAAGTGGTGAAAATTTTCCATGGACCTTTTGACAGCGAACAGTGTTGGTTACTGAAACAAGAGGTTTGTCCAACTTGGCCTCCCTTTTCTAGCTAGTTTTCTTTTTGTACTGTCTCAACTTATACGGTCATATGCCTGCCAAACTCCCATCTCCCCCCCCCCCCCTCCCAAAACAAAACATAAAAATGCCCACAGAAAAAAGAAGAATAACGATTGAGATTGAGGATTTAATGAATGCCCAAGTGTTAATTTTCGAATAAATTACACCATAACTCCCTTGCAATTTTTTCACATGAATATTTTGAAATGCTAAAGGAGTAGTATCGTTCTCTGTGATGGCATTGTGAGTACCCGTTATTCGACAAGGCTTGTCCAATTTCGACCTAGAATTTGAAGTGTGGTTGAGGCTGTGCTGCTACAGATGTGCACTTAAGAGTCAAGATCTTTTGATGCCCTGATAAATCAAATGGAAAGCTAGCAAAAGTCCACACAATATTTGAAAAATGGGTTAACCAAAAATGGGCATGGCGTCTATTGAGGATAATAAATTTTTAAAAATTAAAATTAATTAAGAAAAGTGTATAAGTACAAGAAAGGGCAATGATTGTAATTAGAAAAATTATATAAATATATTTCAAGTATCATATTTTTAGAAATGTAAGATTAATTAGGAAAGGAAAATAAATATTAATTTTGACGTTTAGAAGGAAAAAAAGATGCTATCCAATGGGTGTTCATTGTTCAGCATGTATTGCTTAGTACGAACATATAATTAAGCTCAAATTTTCTTTTTCTTTTGCCAGGGAATTTAGATAATTGACTTGAGATGGTAATCTCCATGGGTTTTTGCTTAGTACAAATTATATACGCTTACATTTCCAGTCCCCAGTAGATCTAGGTAATGACCAATTTATTCAATCTTGTGAAGAAAAATTACCATCTAAGTTGTCCCTTTTACTAATGACCAATTGCACATGTTGACTTGAAACTTGGGAGTGGCAGCTCTGGCAAGGGTATTGAGATGCATTACTCTGTTTATTGCAATGATTTCAAACTCTTTTATATATTGTTATTCTGTTTTGGAGCCCTACTGTCAATCAGTATTGGAGTTCAAAGAAGCCAGTTCAATCAACGGCAACAGTCGTGCTTTCTATACAAGAAATTGAAAACATGAATAGCTATGAATTGCGCCTAAATATTTGATAAGAATAAAGCATTTTATTCTGCAAGCTTCAGCAGAGTCTCCCTCCGACCAGCAATAACTCGTTAACTTCTGGCTGGAAGCCCTGGAGAGATCTCTGCCTCTGCCAACGTTGGACCCATATCTGAAGGGGAAATTAAGGAATTAGAAAAGTTTTGTACGCTTTTCATTTGGAAACAGCTTCAAAAAAAATTATCGGAAATCATAATTCGGTCTTCTATTTTTTGGGATTAGTTCGAGTTCTTGCAATCATCATTAACCTGGACATGTTTCGAAATATTTGTATTGAAAAGTTATTTGTTCTTGAGGAAATTTGATAAACTTGATCCCTTGCATTTATGTGACTTGTAATGCTAATGTTTAGTCATCTCAATGAAATTGGTCAAAGACATGTTTTCTGTAACATTTATTCTTATTATTGTGTTTTACCATGAGGAGAATCTAAATCATATAGGACTCAAATAGGATCAATTAAAAAGATTTACTATACCGGTGAAAATATTGAGATGAGTATGTGATTGAGAAACTTCAATTTTCCACTAAATTATTGTGTATCAATCATAAAAATGCAGGGCATTGAGAAACTTTTTAATTTCCATAAGATCACATTAGATTTGTTATGTAGAAAGAGAGCCTAATACCCTTCAATGTCAGGCTAAGGGGATAATCATGGATGCCCAAAGTAGTAGAGGAGGGGAGTACATTGAGCAAACAAATCACTCAAATCCTTCAGTAAACCGGCAACCACCAAGCAAAGGAGTGGTTCTGATCAACACGGGTGCTGCATTCTCAAAAGGAATGAAGAAGTGTAGACTAGGAGGGATAGCAAGGAACTGGAAGGAAAGGATACAGAAAGCATGGGCAAAATCTGCAGAGAAATCCAGTGAACCATTGGTGGAAGAAGCTGCAGCCATCAGAATAGGAATGATGATGGCACAAGAAGCTCAGTGAAAAGCAGTAGAATTTCAATCTGACTGCAAAGACATAGTAGACATGATTAAGAGGTGAGAACGCAAAGGAATCCAGAGTTACAGTCTTACTAGAGCACATCCAAAAAATGAAAGGCTTGTTCAATCAATGTACTTTTTCTTTTGTTAATAGACTAGAAAATAGTTGTGCACACAATCTAGCAAGGTTTGCTTTCAAACCTGTTAGAGATGTAGATTGGGAAGGAAATTTTCCCATGTGGCTCGCACAAAATGATCTGTTGGATAGTAACCCTTTTGTAATTGACCTTGTGTTATCAAGTTAGTAATGAAATATAAACTACTTTTGACCAAAAAAAAAAATTAACATTGGTCAACTCAGAAATGCCGCTTGGAATGCTCATACAAAGCATCTTATAGCATAAATCAAGAAAGTTCAGTGAGCTCAATTGTCCAAGATTTGAAGGAAGGGACCCATTCAAATTGTTAATGTCTTGAAAGGTTCAACCCAAGCAGGCCTATTAAGCTTGTAATTGCTGCTGGAATTTCTCCACTCAAGAAATTGCTCGAAACATCAATGATATACTAGTCCAAGTGTATTTCTGTGTTTAGATGCTACTCCTTTTCATCTTGACCTAGGGATTTAAAATTGAAGTATCATGAATTAGAAATTTTAGATTCAAATCCCCTACCTCCTTTTCTTTTCTTTAAGCTTTCGGCGTCACAAGGAAGGGGCTACCCCCAAATTTTGAAAATCCCTTTTGATCCATGAATAGTTTTAAGATTTTGCATTTAAAACTATATACTTCATCGAGAAAATGATATCGAGTGTAAACGTGATTGTAGTAGACTAATTTAAAAAAGCCATAATTTGGGCATAATTGATCTTCGTCAAGTGTAATAAGAAATTAAGATGAAATCCTTAAGAGAAAACGATATCAAGTGGGTTAAGAGTTTGCCGGTTTTTATCATAATGCGCTTAAACTCTGATAATGGGATTATTGAATGCATATGGCCTTTTTTTTTTTTTTTTTTTTCCAAACGATAAAAATTGCATTACTTGAAAACAGAAGAAACAAGGTTTGGAGCAAAGGCCCCTACATCCATTTTGGCTATACTACTCAGCCAACTTGGAAAAGACTCCTTCCAAGCAATCTCAGAAACTAATTTTAAGGCAAACTTTGCCAATTGATGGGAAACATTATTCCCTTCTCTTTTGACAAACGAAAACAGGCAAGAACTGAAGTCCTTGCTGAGTGCCATAATATCAAAAAGGACAGAACCTGCTAAATGGTCATTCAACTTTCCGTCTCTAATCTGATCCACAATTCTCTTGCAATCAGTTTGAATAATAATGTTTCTCCAACCATTCTGCTTGGCCAACACAAGCGCATGCCGGATAGCTCTTGCCTCCTCAACAATTGGAATACCCCTCCTGTCTTCACACCCAGCCCAAGCTCCTCTTAACTTCCCTTCCATGCATCTAGCCACAACTCCCCAACTGGCCTATGCACCAATTTGTTTGATAGCTGCATCAGTATTTAAACATATAACATTTTCTGGAGGTGGCTCCCATTTCACAGGTCCTCTTTCAATTCCCCTACCCTTTTCGTCATCCTCCATCTTTACTATAGAAACATTCTGGAATTCTAACCATTCCTGAACAGCCTTATTACTTGTCAAGCCTGGACATCTCCCTTCCCTATTAAATTGAATCAAATTCCTGGACTTCCAAATCTGCCAAAGCACATTAATGGTCAGCTCAATGTGTTCCCTTCCCTCCTTTCTAACCTGTGCTTCCATCAGACTGCCCCACCAATGCCAAAAACTATATCTGTATTCATTCAACCCCTCCCAATTAATTGGAGCAACCTTCCAAATCAGTTCCGCAGAATGCATATGGCCTTATTAGGATAGTTCAAAATTTAAAAGTACTTGGGAGAAATAGATCCTAGGGGACGAAATTATCGCAAGATGTATTAATTAGAATGCAGGTAACAAGTTGGAGACTAGTATTGATTTTAGAAACTTCAATTTTCCCGAAAACTACAACGCATAGATGGTTGAATAGCAAGCGATGGCCAATTTTTGGATTTTTCCTATAATCAATTTGGATAAACTCCAGTCCGCACTCCCAAACTTGTATCACTTTTTCACTTTATATCCTAAATTTCAATTTTGGATACTTTGCATACTAAACTCTCAATTTTAGACATTTGACGCCCTAAACTTCCAAGTTGGTCCTATTCAAATCCAATTAATGACAACTTTTGTAAAACTAAGAGGACCCAAAGAATTAATGATAATGTGCCAAAGGTAATCAAAAGGTTCCAATGTATCATAAAAAAAGTAAAACAATACATTATCATTAATTTGCATCATTTTTTCTCTCATTGATTTTGCTAATAATATTAATAATTAAGACTATATAAATAAATGATAATGTGCCCATTAAAAATGGTCAAAAAAGTTAAGGGATTGCAGTTGGAACAAAATGGTACACTATGCCCCGTTGATCTTGTGCATGAGTAAGTAAATAAATCACAATGTGCTAATTAAATAAAACAAGAACTTTGTGCATGAGTTACAGTATGCCCCATTGATCTTGGTCTAGTGTTAGTAAAAAAATTACTAAGATGAAATCCCTAAGAGTAAATGATATGAATGAATTTTCTTGATCTATGATAATAGCCAAGTCTTTTGATACCTGTACAGTCAAATTATGTGTGATGTGTTAAAAGGGGATAAAAAAAAAACCTTATAATCTTCAAAGTTGGGCTGGTAAGGGTATCTGATATATTGCTGTCAAGAACTTGGCGTATACAAGGGTTACCATCCAGGTGAAAAGCCCAAGTGATCATGCTGATAGATGCGCACAGATCTTCATCTTTGGTAAAAAAAAAATTGATCCAGAAGGAAGAGATGGGTGAAAACATCAACTCCTAGACCTGTAACTGTAAGGTTCCTTTATAAGGTTTGTTCCCACCCTAATTAATCAATGCACAAGTCTGAACTTTCCACTGAGAATTATGAGAGCAAAAGGATCCTTTGGCTTTGTAAGGTGTGTTAGCAGTCCATGTAACCAATTCTTTGGAATAGAACGACGATAATCGTTCTTGTCAATCTTCATTGATCCAAAGAAATCAGATTTTGCAGGTTATCAACTAGCATATCCCAGTTAAAACCACAAGCAGCAGAAAGCAAATGCCACTAACTAGGCTGATATATAGTAGTCACATATTAAATTAAACACACTGAATAAACAAGTGCTTACAACTCAAATCACCAGCATCCAACTGCCAGAAAACAAAGTGCTCTCATCTCTTTTTTTTTTTTTTTGTTTCTTTATTCATATTTTTATTGAAGCACCAGTGGCGGCGCGACAGCGCACACGCACGCACATGTGGAAGGAAAAACCAGGCTAAACAAAAAGCTCCAACGAGGAGAAACACAGCTTTCTGGTTTCAAATGATCGTTTTAGCAATGTTTAGTGCAGAAACATCTGCGACGGAAGCCCCTGCAACGGCCACCATGGAACCCTTCAGTCTGGCAAACAGCAGCACAGTTGTCCTTCCTGATACACGGTCCCTTGAATCGATGGCTCTGTGACTCGCAAATCCTAGCCTCGGCCACCCCGATTGGTCCCATATCTGCAACAATAGATCAAGATATAAGAGATCGATGACAAAAACTTTTCATGGATTTTTATCAAGCAACCATGTCTAGTATAAAATTATCTGAATTTACAACCAGCAGAAAATAGTTACCTTTAACCTGCATATTTAGCTAATTAACTTCGACTTTGGACATTACTAATATTTTAGCTATATTATCAGTATCCATACTTCAGATCTTCTTTTGATATCATTATATGCTTGATGAAGTAACTTATAATGTTTTATGAAAAAAAATAAGTAATGGAATTTTCACCTTGTCCAGAGTATGACAAGTTCCGTGTTCATCACATGTCTAATTAACTATCGCACCAGAAAATCCGAAAGCTAAAGGTTGTAGGGATTTTATTTACTTTGTCTTGTGAAAAATGGATTTCTACTCGTTATACTCGAACAAAGTTAGCAAATATTGTTGAAGCAATATTTACTCATAGTTCAAAGGGTTATCAAGAAAAATCTATCTACCTGTGATAACGGTCAGATAAATTGCATGGTGTTATTCTATCAATGTTGATTTAAAACAATATATTGTAGGGAAAAGAAATTCAAGAACATGAAGGAAGGAGGATGATGATTACCAGAGGCCATGAAAAGCGCCAAGAGGAGAAGAACTGTTGCAGACAAGCGCATGAAACTCCTCATCTTGTGAATTATCCAACACTACACACAACAGAGAAAGTGGTGGACTGCAATTTGCAAGGGGTACATTTGTTAGGCAGCCCTATGCCTATTTATAAGGATTGTGAGCATTTTGCTGCAAAATCTGCTACTTTATTTTGAACGAACGATCGAGAAAAAAGGTGATCAAAACGATAATGCAGTGAGTCATCACTACTCACTGCCCGCTGTTGGTTTGCCTGTTTACCTTTTTCCGTATAAATTAGTTCTAATTGATATGACATATAATTTGGCTGTATGCCTTTTTCCATATAAATTATTTAATACGTACTGATCAGATAGACACATTCGGTGGATCTTCTTCAGAAAAAAATTTTAATTTTTAATTATTTTTTCTTTACGTGTGAACATTGAAAGCCTCCACTGCCTTTTGGATAAAGGGTGTTTATATGCTGATTGGGCTTGAATAATTTAAAATGATCACATTGTTGTGCATTTAACTTAGAATAATTTTTTTATGTGGTTGAGATTAGTTTTATTTACTTAAAGATTTATTATGTATTAGGGTTAAAGGTATGAATATTATTACAAAGTGTAAATTTTAATTATTTTGAGTATGTGTCACAAAAACATTCCAAATAATATTAACCTGTTCGGGGGCAGTAATGAGATATTGGTCTATTAGTGAATAAAATTATTGAGGTCCTAATAGGCTTACAAAGTGTTAGCACTTCTTGTGGGCAACTTTCAAAATCAATCAATTTGAATGTTCACACAGATTTGGTAATATAGTAGTAGTTCAAGTACTTTTTCTTTTCTAAAAGGATGTAGGCAACCTTTCCCCTTTTCGAATAAAAAAGGGACACAACTTATAGCCTTCAATTTGCAGAATGACAAGGTCCTTCAAATGGGAGAAGCCACAAGTTTGTCACAGTTCCATAATCCAACCAAGGACATAAAATTGTGCACTTAAAAAAAAATGAATAATATATCTTCCAGTATGGTCAATAAAAATGATTATTGCACTTTCTTAAACTTCTTTTCCATCTTTTCAACTTTTTAATTTAGATTGGAAAGCTCAAGAAGCAAGATAAAGAATTTTTATACCCAGAAAAGAGATAACAAATAAACAATATATAAAAAAACATGGACTTGTGTATTTGAAAGGGGAATTTATTTTGTACAACATACTAGAATTCTGTATTCATGGCTACGGTGTGAAACCCAGCTTTTGAAAAGGATAGCAGGACAGGCAATAAAGTGTAAAAGCAATTCTAAAATGATCAGTATATTTGACTCATGCATTGCTTATAATTGCATCATGCTCTTTCCAGCAGTCCACCATGTACAGTAGGTCGAAGTCTGGAATTTAGCTTTATAGTGGGTCCATAGTCATGCTGGTATTTTTATGTAAATGCTGTACATATAAAAGCTTACTTAGATGAATCTGGTGGCCATCCAAACTAATCAAGGATGCATTCGTGAGCAAGTGATAGCTCCAATTCGTCTAATTGTGAGTACTCATGCTAAGCAGCTGTCGGTCTTGAGCTGTCCAAATTTGATTTAGATTTTCGTTGCAAATTTTGATACCATTCAATTCTAGATTCGGAACTTGTCATGTTACAGGCTGCATAGTTTGTCGAACACAGATTCATTGTCGAACACAGATCATATCACTTAAAAAGTGATAGTTCCAATTCAAGTTTAGTGATATGAATTCAGCCATGCTAGTATTTTTATGTAAATGTTGTATATATAAAAGCTTAGTGATATGAATTTGGTCGTCATTCAAACTAGCCAAGGATGCATTCATAAGCAAGTGATAGTTCCCATTCATCTAATTGTGAGTACTCATGCTAAGGAGCTGTCGTTCTTGAGCTGTCCAAATTTGATTTAAATTTCCATTGCAAATCTTAATAGAAGTAATCTAATACTTGCCTTTGTATATGAGATTGAAGCCTCTAGTAATTATTCCTATGTCCTTCAAAATTTTTTTTTTATTTCTATGTGGACTTCTGAAATAAAAGTTTTTCCCAATTATGTAAAAATTATAAAAAAAAAAAAAAACAAACGAGTTTGTAGAGTTTAGAATTTCTTATCAGAGATAAGACAGAAAACTAGTATCATACGTGCTATCATAGAATAATTGACCATGATTGTGACGTCTCTTATAAATTATATGTTATT